GGTCTTGCAGGACTTCAGCCTGTCTCAAGAATCGTTCCTTGAAATGCATCAAATTGTCGGTTGTTCCCTGCTTCAAAGCAAAGAACTTTTGATTGGCTTCCCAGAAATCCAAGAAGTCATACTCAGCCATCAGCACTCTTCTTCATGAATCGTTCAATACGTTTCAAGAGTTCGATTGGATCTTCAAGAGCAGTCGTGAAATCGGCTTCACCTCGAAGCTTGATATCCATCGCTTTTGTCACAAACTTAAGCATGATGTTTGATTTGACAGTTCTCTTGTTTGTTTTGAAGTAGGCTGATCTTTGCATGTTCTCGTCGAGCTTTGCAGAATAGAGAATCTTGTTTTGAGCCATCTCTGTTTCTCTTGCAACAGCTTCAGTTTGAGTTGGAGCAATAATAATAATAATAACTGAGACATTAATCGTTAATATGCTACTCTATGGGCATTCGATTGCCGGTGAAATATTCGGCTGTAAAGGTCAAGTACTGTGAAGCGGTGAGTCAACGCCAAGTTTGAACCATTTGAGGCATCTGTATTTTTGAACAGAAGTTGCTCAAGTCTCCCAAAGGGGTAAAGACTTCTCCCGCGACGTGGCGGGGTGAATTCGGGGCATGTAAGGTCCCGCGAAAAGTTGGTCAGGGTCCAAGGGAGAAAATAGTCCGCAGACTGCGGCGTTGTGCTTTCATGGAGCGACAGAAATCTCTGCGTTCCTGACAAAGCAACTTAAGCCACTCTTCCTTGTCTACCAATGACTTGCGAAGGACGCGTCGACGGCATGTTAGCATCGGTTGAATTTCCTTAGGCAAGTCATCAAGACCCATATCAAACTGTGAGTGAATCCCCTCATTGACAGTACTGTGACGTTCACGTAATTGAACGTTATCATCCGAATGTTGAACGGAGTTCCGTTGCTCCCACAAGTAGAAGCCGATCGAGATCAGCTGTTGTGAGAGGCGGGACGCCCAAAGAGAGACAGATCGTCGACATCTTATCTTGTCATAATATTGTTGTTGGAGTGGAAGCCAAGACGAGGCGATGCGTCCCTCCAAAAGGCCTTGAG